GTCAAGCTTCCAGAAGCCGCTCCAGGGCCCATGCACCGTCACCACCGAGCGCGTGGAACTTTGGCTAGCCACGACATTCAAGTGACGCTTGACACGACCAATCTCCCCATTGCGCCTTCTGCTGCTGTCTTTGATTGATGACTCCGAGCTTGATACCCGCCCATACGTCCCCAAGCATGCGATAGATGTGCCCCCCCTGCCCACCCATGCCGCCGCCTATTCACCACCCCCGACCTGCGCCGCCATCATGTCTTCCCCCGATACCCCACGGAGATCGACCGAGAGCTTCGAGTTCTTGTCGCCGAACCCACCGCAGGGCGCCTTCCCGTTCCCATCAGCGAACCATGACTGGACAAACAGGCCCAGCTCCACGGGCGGGCGCTACAAGCCGCGACGTGGCTCAACCGCGTCTTCGATACACTCGGTTGGGGGCGCACTCGACAGCGGCTTCAAGAGCACCATGGGCGCGGTGAGAGAGCAGAGCAACAATGCCATCTCCACGTTGCTCACGCCGCCCATCATGCGGACTGGCATGGTGCCGCATACCACTGCCACGGCGACCGCAGGCCATCGCCCTCCATCCACCAAAGACATCCCACCCGTGACTCTGACAAATGTACCCCACGTCGAGCCCTCCACCTTCAACCCATATCTGTCGCAAGTCGGCGGTTTGTACGACGCTTTTCAGCGCGCAAAGGCCGAAGCCGAAGCAGAGGCCGCCCAGCCGGTGAGGAGAGGGTCCAAGAAGGAGGACGCGACTGAGTCACCAGCGGGGACACCTAATCTAGCAGGTACACCCTTCTCTTCCAACGGGCCACCGAAACCGAAGCGTCGAACGAGCGGATCCAAGCGCGCACTCCCAGCCATCACGCCGCTATCTACAATACCCAACATCTACTTCGACGAGAACTTCCACCTAGAGAACCCGCGAACCTTTGACGTAGTGAGCGAGCGATCCGAGGTGGTGAGGCCAGCGCGGACAACAAGCAACGATGATTTTGGGGCAAACGGCTCTCTGGACGTCCCACAACCTCCCGGGCGGAAAGCTCTGGCCACGAATGCGATTCTACAAGAGAAGCTATCGTGGTACATGGACACGGTGGAGGTGCACTTGATTTCGGCCATATCCACCGCATCGACGTCCTTCTTCGCCGCGCTCGGCTCCCTCCGCGAGCTTCAGACGGAAGCATCAGATTCGGTCGCGAGGATAAAAGGTCTCAGGGAAGACTTGAAGAGGCTGGATGAGCAGATGGCAATAGGAGGCTTGAAGGTCGTCGAAATGAAGAGGCGGAGAGAGAATTTGAGGAGGCTGACAGACTCGGTCGACCAGTTACAGGCTGTCATAGTCGGACTCTCGCACTGCGACGAAGCCGTGGTCGACGGTGACCTTGAAACCGCCATGGCCCGGATAGAAGTCATCGAACGACTGATAACAGGCGCGCTGGACACGACTGATACTCAGAGCACCTCGTGGCTCGACTCTCGATTACCTCCGCAGTTGATCGATTTGCGACACTTGAGAGCACTGGACGGAGTTTTTGAGAACATTACCGAGCTCAAGTTCCGCGTGGGCAGAGGCTTTGAAGTACGCTTTGTCGACACTCTGCTCACAGACCTGCGAGAGCACGTCAAGCGAGTTCCGGCTCATGATACCCTAGAACGATGGACTGCTGCATCGCAAAAAGCACGCGGAGCCAACCAGAAACCGAAGACGATTTTACCAGCCTACATGACGACCGATGAAAAGCTACGAGCGGAGCTACGAGCTAGTCTGTACGGCCTGAGCGGAGCGCAATTCACCAATCAAGCTAGCGCAACTTTCAGGGAGGCTATGATCAAAGAGATGAAAGTTCTCATCCGGAAACATTTGCCGAGCTCATCAGAAGACGATACTGGTTCTATGGCTTCTGTGTCTACAAGAGGCGGCCGAGGCACTAGTCAACAGGACAAGAACTCGATCCTTGCGCGTAATCTGCGCGCAATGGATCCTGAGGACGCCGAGGTCTTTTTCGCTAATATTTTCACCAACATTGGAGAGGCGCTCCGCCGTCTAAGCACACTGATCAAGGTGCTTCTTGATGTCACGAGCGGCGTGACTACCCCTCCCGCCTCTGCTGGTGGGCTTCGGTCTCCTCCAAGAAGTCCGTATATGCACAGTATCGATGATTACGTAGGCAACAACGTGCCAGCGCCAAGCTCTAACGACCTGCAGATGGAACTTATGCAAGCTCTGGATATGTCAAGTTTGTTAGGCCAGGCTGTCGACGCAGCACAGACGCAGATCACCAAGCTCCTCAAAGTCCGCTCAGAAGCTACAGCTAATCTCCCATTGGAACGTTTCCTACGGTATTTCAACATGTGTAGACTTTTTGCGGATGAGTGTGAAGCTGTCTCGGGACGTTCCGGCGCTGCACTCAAGGGTGTGGTGAACACCCACATCAACGATTTCGTATCCAAATTCGCAGACTTCGAAAAGCAAGAACTGATAAAAGCAATGGATTCAGATCGTTGGGAACCGAAGGACTTTGACGCAAGTGATACTGAGGTCCTGGCACGGTTGTTGAAGGGAATGGAGAGCGATCCACCAAGCTGGGCCGAAACTGGTGACGTTCTTCGAGAGATCGAAAAGCCGACCACAAATGGCACTTCAGTACAAACAAACGGCGCATCCGAAGAGAAGCCCAAGGAAAAGAACAAAACCACTATCCCCGCCGTTGTGGACGAGGAGAAGTACACCATCTCCGAATCATCAACGGTCGTCCTTCGAGGTATCGAGCGCTTCGAAATCTTGGTCTCCGCCATGCCAAGTATGACTTCCGAAGTCTCTACCTCCCTTTGCGACTACATTAAGCTTTTCAACTCCCGACTTTGTCAACTGATTCTCGGCGCGGGCGCCATGCAGTCAGCTGGCTTGAAGAATATCAACACCAAACATCTCGCCATTGCTTCTCAGACACTTTCCTTCCTTGTCGCCATCCTACCTTATATCCGCGAGTGCTTTCGCCGTCGCACCGCATCAGCTTCCAACAAATCCTCAATCGGCGAGTTTGACAATGTCAAGCGCCTGTTGTACGACCAACAGAACCAAATCCACGAAAAGCTCACAGGCATCTTAGCTGGGAGGGCGAAGGTTCATATGCGCAGCCTCAAGAAAGTGGAATGGGATACTGAGGCTGAAGTCAACAAAGATGTCAGCCCCAGCATGGAGAGCTTGACCAAGGACACTGTTACCATGCACAAGGTGATTAACAAGTACTTGAGCGACATCCAGGTCCGCATGATTATGGGGCCCGTGTTTGAGAGCTACAGAGAGGAGGTTGGCGGGGTCATAAAGGAGGCGGCAGTGAAGACGCCTGGTGGTAAAGCACGGTACGTGACAAAGTCAATTTCGGTAAGTGTATGATAGCTGACACCACTCAGATTGCTACGCGAGGCGAAGCTATTCGATGCGAAACTCGGGCCTATCGACGGTGCTGGCAACGTTGGCTCTCATCTTATCGGCCTCGTGGTTAGCAAAACAGTCGCGCAGCCCAAGGCGGAACCCAAGGTTGAGCCTCAAAAAGAAATCGAGGAGAAGAAGAGCGAGGAAACGGAGCAGAGCACAGAAGTGGAGGCTGAAAAAGCGAGCACGGAAGCGACTTGAACTGAGATAGCATCCGAAATCAGCTTCCAGTCGCAGCTGCTACGGAATGACGGTTACGCTTCATTGGACTAGGTGACGATCTCGCGATATTCATCGCATGGTCCCGCTGCAAGGGGAGAATGACTCTTCAATTGCCTGACCACATCACCTCCGGACTACGTGCACATTCGGCCCCGATGAGTACTATGATGGAAGTGGCCGACGACTATACGCATCTTCACCCACATGTCACCTTTCATGTATCATCACCACCCAGCAAGGCGTTCTGGAGTAATAGAAGAAGAGCGGTCACTATGAGGCAAAGCTGTTTGGATAGCGCTGATATCGTGGAATGGGATGATGCGATACTGATGTTATACCATTCAAGAATCATGATCTTTCAAGGCCCCCAGAGAAAATGCGGACTCTCTGTCCATACCTCGCCCGATGTGTGCCCGCCCTCATTTCGTTTGTCATCTCCATCCGATGTGAGACCTTCTACAGTGGTCGCAGCGGCCTGCACATGCCTAATAGTTATCACAACTATGTCTCTATCACCACCACCACCCAGAACCACCACCGTTTCATCTTTTTCAGAAGTCCTCCTCGCACGGTCATCCTGGCCGCTCGCACTGTGCGTCTCATCTTCATGTATTACGCTCTTTCCTTCCAGCTTTTCTTCTTCGACGCTGGTGCGTGAGTCTGTATGTAGCTCTGCTTCGGGCTCCAGTTCGGTTGCTTTCTCCTTGTCGCGTTCCTCGTAGTCGTGCACGCGCGCTTGCAGAGCTAAATGCGCATTCATTTCCGTTTCTGAAATATCAAGTTTGACGTGTAGTGGTTTGTCTGACCAGTTTGTCGCGACTTTCCTGTTTGTGTAGCGTTGTGGCCGGGGAAACATCGATAGTTTTAGAAGGAGAAGACTTCAAAAGGAAAGAGGTCTTGAGAGACTTTAAGGGATACGAAGGTCACAGCTAATAATGTGTCACCCGAGTTTTATGTGACGTGTACGTCACAATCACCAGCGCGCTTTTGTTGAATTGTTGTCAATTCTTCATATTGACAGACTGCCTGACATGTACTGTCCGAACGCACCATAGTCCACTTCTTTGGAATAGAAGAGAGGAGACACATGCTAGTGTGACCGATAACCACACTGCCGGAAAGCAGGAGGGATGATCTCGGTATCGAAATGCACACCTTCAATGCTGATCATATCCCGTCACCACATATGCTAGCCATACCTCAATCGAAGCAGATGTAGCTCTTGGTACGCGGAACACGTTGCCACTGATCCCGATCCGGTCCTTTGTTCCAGACGAGAGCGCCAAAGCATCCATCATCTGCAATACATGTCAGTTGCCTCCTTCCTAATTGGCTTCTAGCTTTGCAGCGCAGAAGATGCTGCAAGTAGAAAACAGACACACTTACCGTCAAAGTACATGCAGAAATTGCAGAAAGAGTTGCCAACAATCTCCATAGTATAGCCCGGTTTCATGTTGATGCATACATTGGTCCCGTCTGTGAGCAGTTCCTGGGCGATGGGGTCGGAGTCAGGAGTGGTAACGTAACGGCCGCAGTACTTCTTCTTCGGGCCATCGGCGGCGGTCTGGACGGAGGAAGTGGGGTGAGACCGGGCGTAGGCGATAGCAGCAGCGAGGTCGGCGTCGTAGGTTGCAGAGCCGGAGACGGGAATGGTGAGCGCGGAGTGCAGCTTGAAGTCCGCAGGCGCGGCAATGACGCACAGAGCGAAGATGCACGCGAGCAGGAGGTTCATGAGATGCATCTTGGGTGTTTGGTAGTTGTTTCCTTGAATGACTTTGTTGCGCAATGAGTGGAAGGAGCTGGGGGGTGAGTGTGGGAAAGACTTTACTACCTGGGAACAGGCGTGGTAAAAGAGCGCGCGGGAGTCAGTGCGCTAACTGTGGCACAGGTCGAGGTGACTGTCTGAGCTCGGAATGAGCGATTGAAAAAAGGCTTACCCCAATCGGAATGTGGATACAGGTGGGTGGTGATTAGCCTCAGCAAGGAAGTGGCGCGTAGATACCGTAGAATCACCGCATTATATCAACGATCCACAGGAGACAGTGGCATATGACCTGATGTTTTCGGAACTCTAAACTAAACGAGTGACTAGAAAGTTGGTGAAAGAGAACAAAGACAAACAAAGAGAAACATCTTGCAAACAGCCATGTACGCAGTTGGAGTGTTGGACCCAATCTACTACATCTTGATCCTCACCTCGTACCATCTACTTTTGCACTTCCCGGAGGAGTGACGTCTCTACGGCAAGGTAAGGTAGGAGAGCACAGTGAAGGACTTGCATCCGGTCATGGCGTCCCGTGGCCCAACGTCAATCCTGTTTCCAGGGGTCTGGTCCAAGTTGTCCGCAACTTGAGAGCAGGGCACATTCAAGACGCGAACTGGATGACGAAAAATTAGCACAACTATTGCGATATCTCCCAGTGAGGATCGGGTTGGATAAAGCTGTGCTTTGACTTACTCTTCTTGTTCAGAGTGCTCTGGTCGAAGAATACAGCGGTGTATGGCCCGATGGTCAAGTCCCGACATCCTGCCTTGCCAACAATACCGTTTTCCGTGAGGATCAACTCAGCTTGAGCTACATCATTGCCGTTGCTACCGCAGCCACCATCGTTATAGAAACGTGCGCGCACGCTTCCAGACTGCCGTGGAGACAGTGTGCCAGGAGCGGCGTTAGCGGCGGCCGCAAGGAAGGCAACGATAGTGGTGAGCTGCATTTCGATGATGTTTTGGTTTTTTTTTTGGCTTGTAGTATTGAAAGTGTCTGAATGTGATTGCGATGGATGTAGTGGTAAAGAATCATGAATGCCAGAGGAGGCCTCCTTTACACCCATCTGGCGGTAGGACTATCGCTGCTGTGCCTATACGCGACATGCTATACAGATCATCTCATACCATGTAACCTGAATCAACTCTCCAACAGTATAGTCTACTCGCCCTGGTCACGTCCAAATCTGTTTTCGTGAAGGGTTTGGTGAGGTCAGACGCATGATAGTAAGCCATCGCCTAAGATGATCGTTTCAGTAATGAAAATGATGCTGTATGGATCTGGGTCGCTACTAAATGGGCTATAATTTATGATAGTAGAGTTTTGATATGAGCTCGTGCTGCGAAAGCTCTTTCTCGTCGAAGTGTTGTTGCTGACGCCGTGATCAGTTTCCGGTCAGGACAGGGATGCGCAAATTCCTGAGGTCTTGTCTGGCAGCATTGACGCGTTGCGAGAGCTCAAGAGGGAAGTTGCGTTGGTTTCTAGTCAACTCGTGGCCTGATGGTCCATCTTTAGCCTGCTGCTACGTCACCGCTACGTGTATACTAGCGCGACTGCCGTCTCTGTACCTACATAGTCGAGTTGCTTGACTCTGACCCCGTGCTTACAAGACCTCCCAATGCGACTGCGCTTGAAGCGTTTCTGCGAAACTGCATATGTCGTGCCAGCAAACTCACGAGGTCTTCTACGAAAATGTATCTAAAGGCTGGCATCAGATTTCGCGTGCACGTAAGCTGCAACAGTAGATATTGTGAAGTATACACGGGGGCGTCCCTCAAATCTTATATTCTGACTAAAGGAGCGACACGAAGGCTATGAAAGAACACCCGCAAGACGAGACCGGAGTGTTGGACCCGACTCATCTCACATTTCTCCTTACACCACCCAACTTGACTAAACCAGATACTTTAGACCTACTGTGATATTTTGACCTTTTCAGCAGACATAGAGCCAGTGGCATACGGCTAGATGCCATTTAGATGGTGATCCAGGACCGGTTAGCCAAGTTCTTGCAGCTAGGAGCCTGGCCGGGAGCGATATCGACAAAGTTTCCGCTTGTAGTAGAAGTGAGCTGAGAGCAAGGTAAGTTGAAAAACCTCACTATTCACCTCATTAGCGAAGCTCTTATAGCCTCCTGGTTATAACAAAGTATTACATACCAGTCCTGCTGAAGTTGTTGATGTCAAAGCTGGTGCTGGCAAAAGGTCCAACAGTCAGATCCTGGCATCCAGCCAGTCCCACAGTCTCGGACTGCAAGAAGACGGTGTCTTCAGCCCATGGAGTGGGTCCGCAACCGTTGTCGCGGAAGAAGCGGGCGTAGACGCGGGGAGCATCTTCGAGCTGGCGCTTCTCCTCTAGTTCGACGGGTGTCGCGCTTACAGCGATGGCAGTGGCGAACAGAGTGATGAGAGTGGTGAGCTGCATGTTGAAGATTGGATATACGGTCGCTGGGGGTATGAAAGGATAGATGGATGTGGAAAGAGGGAGATGAGATGAGATGAGATGTTGTGGTGAGATAGAGAACGGTGTAGCATGCTTGCTTTATATGTCTCCGTGATGTACTATCATCCAACAAAAGCAAGCCAAGCTGCTATTACGCATTGAATTGCTCCACCAACTCTAGTATGAAGGGAGACACGGATCGTGCGGTTGGTGGCTTACATTGCCCAGTCGATGTCCATTGTTGCGATGTTTTAGGGGGTGGCCAGAGCATTCTGAGGCTGTTCCATAGCCTCAAGGGCAACATGACATGAAAAATCTTACTTTGGTGCCTGTTGGCGAGTGAGTCTATACGAGGGAGTGATGTCAAGGTCCCCATCCGTAGACTCCGACTCGAGGCCAAAGTCTAGGTACTTGTTGCGAGATGACTCCAGTCAGAACACTACGCACGTTTGCTAACATTAACGCCAGGTTTGTAAGCTCGTAATGCCGCTTGCCCCGTGTTCCTGAACTCTGATTTTCTCGCGGTCTCAACAATTTGTGAGATGAGTTGGCTTTGCAAACGTCCCGATTTGGTGCTTCGATGGGATCTTGCAAGTAAGCCGGTCGCGTGCATGCATGTACGTTCACGTGCAGAGTGACTGTATGAATGTGGTGCGTTCCGCCTACCCGTGACCCCACGCAATCTTACACTCCTACCAACTCTCCATCGGACTTCACGACGAAGACACTGAGAACGCAATCATCAACCATGATATAAGAACACACTCATTGTGGTAGATACTGGATCGCTCCATATTCTATATTCTTATAAATGAGTGACTAGAAGAGCATAGGAAATTCCTTCAAGGTCCTGAATGTATTGTGATGTGAGCCGGAGTGTTGGACCCGACTCACACTACATCGCATTACCACATAACAAAGCCTTCCTCGATCTGTCCACCAACAGGCCCCTCGTGAGCTAGAGCATCTACAAAGTGACATAAGACTTGAGCGTCAGTGTCTGGCAACCAGCCACGAAGCCCGGTGCGATGTCAATGTGGCGTCCGCTGTCAACGCTAGTAAGTTGCTCGCAAGGAATGTCGTAAAAACGGACTACACGTCATCTGTCAGCTCCTGCGAACCCGGAATTCATTACGATGCGGCTAAAACATACTTGTCCTTGTAAGCATGGTCTCGTTGAAGTACGTGCTGGGGAAGTTGAACGAAGGGGGAAAGTTCATGCACGTGCTCAGGCCGGTGGCGGTGGTGTTTTGCAGTGGGACATAGTCATCGCCATAAGGCTGGCCGTCGCGGCCGCATTGAGTGTCGCGATAGACTAAGATGGGTATAGCGTTAATACGTGTTCCGTATGTTTTTTGTTGCGCAATGTTGTCACTTACAAGTGGCGCGGACTCGGGGAACTCCCTGACGGGCCTCAATGCCGGCGGAAGGTGCGGCACTGGCGGTCATAGCCACAGAGGCAAGAAGAGAGGCGAGGACTGTAAGCTGCATCTTGGCGTTTCGGGTACTGGAACAAGATAGTATGTTTGATCGAATAGACGTTTGACTGTAATGTTGTGATCTTTCTAGACAGCAGTCGAGCTCTGCTTTATAGCATGAAGGCTATGCACCCATACATTCTGATAGCCTCAGCATACTGTATCTAACTTGCCCTTGTTACGTATAGCAAGCCTCTTTATTCTCATCATGTGTGTCACAGAAGCTCTACTCTCGAAGTCTTTCCAGTCGCCCTAGTTGGTGGCGCATGCCTTTTCCGGGTAGTCCATAGATGATTCATGGTAGAAGACCTCGCTGATGCCTTCGCAAAGGTGATATAAGCTGCCAAGTGTTGAATTTTTGTTGACTGGTTGTTGGTTGTACTCAGCACACTGGCTTAAAAGCCATGGGTGTTGTCACATGCGTGTATAGCAGGTGGTACAATAAGTCGTATGTGAGCCCGTGCTAGGAAAGATTTCGTTCAATATTGAGCTGATTCTTCCCTAATTTGCTGAATGTGTGGTCGATTCGCGAGCTTGTATAGCGATCAAGACCGGATTCTTATGGATATGCCCACGTCTTGCGCGTTTTTGAGCGTACATATCTGTTAAGAGGTGACACGGTTTCGAGCATGCGAGACCAGTGCTGGAATAATGTCTTCTCCCGATATATGTCAGGAGGCCGAGCATCCCAGTCGGCTGGCGCGTGAAGGCCAGAGAGTTGGTCCCGAATTTTCTGACGGGAAATACCAGTCCAGGACAATTGTAGACGGTCAATGTTGGTGGTGACGAGTCATGCCCACGCGACATTCTAGATGTATTGCTGACGTTTACGCATACAGCCAATAAGAGTACTTTGGTCGCCTTATAGCAAGTCAGTCACCCACTATCCGCTGTAAGCTGACGGGTGGCGCTGCTGATCCTAAGGGCGACCAACAGCAGCCCATCAGCAGTGATCAGTGATGCGCGTGGGATGCGACCAAGGAGACGCACAGACGGCCCGTCCCACCGTTTGTATTCCGCCAGGACCTCTCTGAGCGAACGTTCGCTAGCTTTTGCTGCTGGCGAGCGCTCTGTTTATTTTCAACCTATAAACGGTTTGTGGAGGAGCGTATGTAGGACTATCAATGGTCTGCAGTTTAATCATTTTCGTATAGTTGAGTTGCAGTCGAAGGTTGGTTTGAATTCGGTGCTAGAAGACGGCAATCTTCGGCAAGGGCTTATTTTTTACTTCCTCAAACGTCATCCGTCTACTCATGCCCAATTCAGCATATTCCGATCGATCATTAGGATACTGGAAGTTTCCAAGCCCTTGGCTGACCATGTATCTTTCAGCTTCCGAATTAGAAGTACTTGAGGCCCGCACACGGTCCGCAGATCTCAATCGCCGAACCGGCACCGGTTTTCGAGTGATGACAATCGCTTCGAAAACGAAGCCAGGCTTCTGCTGAGGAGAGGATGTATAATCCGGGGCACTGGCTGTGCGGATGTGGTATCTGTCAAGACCTCTGACACGTTCAGTGCCAGGTATGGGTGTTCCCTTTGTGATTGCATACGCGATCTCATCGGGACTGGCTATTTCGCCGTGATCAGGAACTCCGAAGATGTGATCCCGGCTGTTGGAACCATTAGAGCCACTTCGCGGAACAGTGCTCAAAGAGCTCAGGCGGCTTGGACGAGTGAGGGACATCGAGGAATGTGAGTATCGGATGCTATGACGAAGATCAAGATCGCGTGAATAAGGGCGCGGGCGCGATGCATTTAGTGTGAAATCCGAGCCCTCTGGATGAACGGCGCGCCATGTAGATGCCGAATACCGGGCCTGCGTGAACAGAGGTCCGGAGTCGCATTTGCTTGCCGAACGCGACGAAAGAGGCGGGCGATTCAAGGCTCCACGGTTGGCAGAGGGCTGTGATGCAGAAGGTAAAGTATCGAAAGAGGATTTACGATACGAGGCCATAAAAGCAGAGGGTATAGGTGGCGGGGCATGATGCGAAGTAAAGACTCTGGACCCTGAAGAGATCCTTCTGCT